GTGCACTTTTACTTTCGCCCTCAGGGGGGAGCCTCGCTGGAAAATCAACACCGGTTGCATAGTGTACCTTTAATGTTAATAGACTGGGAGGAAGTTCTTGTTGTGAACAGGTGGAGAGATCTGTGAATTGCAAAGCTAGGCTTGCTGGAAAACCTGCAAAATCAGTCAGCTTACTGTAAATAGATGATGACGCGGTCTGCTCACGCACTCTTTGTTTATCAGAGTATCGAGGCACGGATGAACCGTGCCGAGCCCTACTGTTGAACTAGTACTAGATTTAGCTCAGTTCTGTTCTGTCTGGCACGGTCCAGTTCAGTTGCGTTCCATTTAGCACAGTTTCAAAACGCTACTGTAAATTAAACTTCTGATTACATGGGAAGTTTTATTTTTAAATTCTTTATTTTGTCATTCAGGCAGCAAAAAAAAACAAAACATGCATAAAATGAAGAGGTGAAATGAAAACAGTTGGGGTGACGATTTTTCATTCACTTCAGTCATAAAGGTTCTCAAGTAGTGGCCATTTTCACCAGTTCAGATCAAAGATCCCCTTTAAGTCGAAGAAGGAAAGTCGCTCTCTCCGTTTCATTATTCTTTATAAGTCTACTTCCATCTGGCAGCTCTTTTTTAAAACCGTTTCCTTGTGATTTCTTCATAGCAACCTTCTTGAAGAAGTATCAGTCTTCTTTTGTAATACCTGTATGATTAGCTGGAGCCGGTAGAGAGTAGTGTTTTGTACATCAGTTTCCAATTAGTCTCTGAAATTTATTTCTGCATTTCCTTTCTCTATTTGACTTTTAAGTGAAACACATTGCACAAATGAAAATGAGTAAGAATTTCTTAAAATAACTGTATTTACCCTTAATTTGAGTAGGAAACCATTATCTGCCAATTGAGTGAGCAGTTTTACCCTTAAAATAAGATAATTAGATATTATGCAATTGAAATAAGAGACTACAGTTGTTGTTTTTTTTCTTATTTTGAATGTAAATGATCTTATTCTATTGGCAAAATATCTCATTTATCTCCTCAGTAAAAATTTTTTTTACTCATTTTAAGAAAAAAATTACTTAGACTTAAATTTTTTTGCAGTGTGCATTGTTCCTGTTGCATTTGGAAACATTGCCATAGTTTATATACTGATCTAGAAGGCTTTTGGTTAAGTGAGTCGGATTATAGTTAGCTGGTAAGTTTTGTTTAAATTACACAGGAAAATGTTTAGCTTCCCTCCGGCCTCATAAACACCCTGATATTGTTTATTTCACTTTGAGAGGAGTAATGTTCCCCTTTTTTCCTTTGTACCTCAGGTTTCTGTGGATTCAAGCTCCTCCAACCACTCTGGAGTGATGCTGGTTCGTCCTTCCCGCCTCTCCTCTAGTGGCACTCCGATGCTGTCGGGAGTATCTGAGTGTGAACTCCCACAGGATCCCCGCTGGGAGATCTTCAGAGACAAGTAGGTCTTCATAAAAAGCTTGGAGCTAATCGGTGGTGGCTCCTGCTTTTCTATTTGGGGCTCAGCATAGATGCCGGTGCATGTTTTTGATTGGGATTAAATCTGCTGTCTGACATGCTGAACTGGAGACAGCTGTACGCTCCGATGGATGGACGGATATCGATTCATCTAGTGGTTAATTTTTTAGACTAATCTAAGATGTTGTTTATTATTCTTAAATAAACAAACTTTTCAGAATCAGATTTATCGCCAAGTAGGTTACAAAGAATTTGACTTGGTGTTGATGGTGCAGACAAATTATATATTTGCACAATAAAGACTCCAATCAGAATGCAGTGGGAACATCAGAGCTGGGTCGACCCGCTAATTTAGGTGGAACCATTCAGCAAAACGTACCGACGTCAACACACCGTGTTTCATCTAACAAACTGAAACATCTCCGTTTTCATTGGCTAAGCATGGCACACACTGGTAAGAGGGATTCGGACTGATAAAGGGAGAAAAACAATAATGCACACTGAATACGCCCTGGCTTCCTTGCGTGTTGCTATCCATTGTTTGCTTTCCTGTTGCACGGGTGACATCATCAATGCTAAAGTTCAATTTATATATATGACGCATAGCCACTGCATCCGTCGTTGCACACCTTAAAAAAAATCCTGACTATGCGTTGGACGGTCGCAAACCCGCGCAGACCTCAAGCGGAAACGCAGACAAAAAAGCAGCTGTGATTTGGTCCTTGTTACGCCTTTCCGACTGTCTGTGTGGTCGTCCTTCTCGTTTCGGTGCCGTGGATGCGCCATTTTTAAAAACCGAGGAACAACTACAATGTACAACTACGACGAAAGGTTAATCGGTCTTTTTTGCCAACTCCATTAGCAGAACCTAGATCGATGTCTAGCAACTCTAGATCCGCCAAAAATCCGCCAAAGTTCTTGCGAGTTCTCGAATGGGCTTCCCCTTACGCTTTGGCAGGAAACTGCTGTGCGTTCCTAGAAATTCCAAACCGACGGTAAAACTGGTTCGCGACCAGACCTAGGCGACATTTGATGTGTGCGGTAACAGAAGTATAATCTGCCCTTAACACATCAGACACGCAGCGGCAAAGCCAGCTTTTTCGGTCAACTGGAAGGGATTGTTAGCAGGTTGAACTGTTTTAAAAAAAACTACGTTAACCAGCTAATTTCAGTGGGAAAGAGGCTTAAAGGAATAGTACACCCAAAACATGATTAGCCTTCATTTTCTACTCACCCCCATGCTGAACAACACTCTGGAGTACTTTTTTGA